CTTGGTCGGCCCCTCTTCCTTTGGCCTTCCACTTTCCCCAGCATAATTGTCTTCTCTAGGCTTTCCTGTCTCCTCATGATGTGGCCAAAGTACTTCAACTTTGTCTCTAGTATCCTTCCCTCCAGTGAGCAGCCGGGCTTTATTTCCTGGAGGATGGACTGGTTGGATCTTCTCGCAGCATTTTATTATTTGTTGTAAAAATGTGTTTGTCATCTCTTCATCAACCAGGGCCCTTAAAGCGATGTATAGGCACAATTTAAAAGTGATTGGAAATAAGCATGTTGAGTGTGTTTGAATTTATTTGTATTTCTCCTTCCTTCAAGGAATTCCAAGCACAATGCAAATTGGATTAGATAAGGCATGTTTCTCAAGGCTACTCAGGCCCCTTCTGCACTGCCATATCATCGAGATTATCAAAGCAGATAATCCACATTATCTGCCTTGAACTGGATTATATGAGACTACACTGCCATATAATCCAGTTCAAAGCAGGTTTATCTGGATTTTATATGACAATATAGAAGGGGCCTTAGTCTACCCAAGCATGTGAGAGGGAGGTTGAAAAGTCAAAAATAGTTTACTTGAAGTTTTTGACTCTATAATACATTCGCTCACACACACACCTATAGCTCTGCATTACATTTCACACTTTTTGCATTTATTAATAATGTTATTTTAAAAACAGTAGAGCATTACACACACCTATGTTTGTCCAGATTAGTCACAACTCTTGTGAAAACTCTCTAGGATTTGTAAACTACTGATAACCTAAGAGTAATCAGTACACATATTTGAAATGCAAATAAAAATTAAAAATAAATATATGTATCAGTTTTCTAGAGGAAAAAGGTAACAACAGGAAGCGATCTCTCTTTATCTATACATGTGTAATGCCTTATTGAGAGATACTAGAAGCCCCTTCTACATAACTGTATAAAATCCACGTTATCTGCTTTGAACTGACTTATAGGGAGTGTAGTCTAAGATAATCCAGTTCAAAGAAGATAATGAGGATTTTCTGCTTTGATAACCTGGATTATCTGGTAGTGTAAAAGGGGAAAAGACAATTAAGAGTTGAAGGAAGATTTATGTCACAGAGGTGCTACAACTCCTTGCTATCTTTCTGGAAATTTGAGATGATTTGAGAAGAAGTACCAAATATTTTATTGAGTATGCTTCATCTGGATTTTTTTTGTGCGAGTCTATGGGCACACTTTACTCAAAAGACTTTCAGAGTACAGCATGTCTGTTCATGCAATCACAGAATAATAGAGTTGGAAGAGACCACATGGGCCATCTAGTCCAACCCCCTGCCAGACATCTTCATCCAATAACCAGCTTCTGTAAGGTGATTATAGAAGAGTGCATTCTTTTGTTTGTATAGAGAGGGGAGTTATACAAGTGCTGTTTTTTAAAAGACTGCCTGTTGTTAGTTTTGGTACAGTTTTCTTTGGTTTCTTTACATTTTTAGTTTCTTTACATTTTTCAGTTTTCAACTTCCTTAGTTTAAAAAAATAGAAAAAAATAAAAGTTATGAGTTTTAAAAAGTACCCACAAATTCAAAAGGTGTAACAACTAAAAATAAGAGCTTATTACATTATCTGATGTAAGGAACCAGCAACCCCCCCCCTCCCCCCCGGATGTCCCAGGAAACAATATTCTATTTGTGCCCATTGGCTATACTTCTATCTAGAAATCAACATCAACCCATGAACCATTACTTTGAACAGCATTGAACAAAACCACCTTCTCAATTAAAATAAAAAGGCTATAAGGCCCCTTCTTACACTGCTGTATAAAATCCACATTATCTGCTTTGAACTGGATTATATAGCAGTGTAGACTAAGGTAATCCAGTTCCAAACAGATAATGTGTTTTTTCTGCTTTGATAACCTGGATTATCTAGCAGCATAGAAGGGGCCAAAGAACTAGCAAAGTAAGCTTGCTTTACAGAAGGAAACTTTGCAAGCCACTGATTAAAATAATCGGTCACATGGCCCATCTAGTTGTTCCTGAAGGCAGAGTTTGGAACAGGGGTATTGCTGCAGAACATAATGCTTAAGCACATTTCAAAAGGTCCACACATTTCTTCAAGTCGACAGTTTCAAATTATTCCTAGAATTGGAAGAGACCACAAAGTCACTCAATCCAAACTCCTGCAATTCAGGAATACACAATCAAAACACTCCCAGAAGATGTCCATCCAGTATCTACTTAAAAACCTCCAGAGAAGGAGACTTCACCACACACCCAGGCAGCGTACTCCACACTTGAACAGCTCGTACTATATCAGAAAGTTCTTCCTAATGTTTAGGTGGGCTTGTATTTCAATACTTTAAAGTTCAATTCGGTCCTTCAAATAATTCTAGTAGTTGGAACTCAATTCAAAAGTGAATAGGCAGTCAGTGTACCTGGCATAAAATATGTACACTATGACTACTGTCCAGAAGTTGACTTCCAAACATAGTCTGGAATTGTCTGTAAGGTGAGGGGGGGGAAGCAGTGAAGTTGCTCATTTGGCTTCAAATGAACACTGAAAACCATAGGTGACAGGATAGACTTATAAACTATATCCACAGAGACAGAAAAAAAATGAAACTCAATTGCAAGTCCTCATGGTCAATCCCAGAAAGGCAAACCAGAAGAATGCCATATGCTCATTTGCATTGACAGTCCAGGAGAACTAGCAGCCTTACAATCTCACCGACAAGTGCTGCTCCCATATCAGCCACACCAGAAGAGGTCTAAATGCAATTAACATTGGACTATGACAATATTTCTACCACAACTGTGCAAGACCTCTCCCCCAAAAATGTACATGCCTTTTAAGAGCTAATAAGAGCTGATGTGGTGATTATTTGAAACAGCGGCATGCAAAGTTTCCTTCTGAAGTCTAAGTAAATACAGAGTTACACAATTAATCTCAAATTACAATTTTATATAAGGTGCTCATATATATATATATATATATATATATATATATATATATATATATATATATAAGGTGCTCAAGCCTCGCTTGAAGTTTTTCTTGTAATTTCCACACATGTCTCTACTATTGGAATCTTTACTCCTGTTAAGAGTGTATACATTTTAGGGAGGAAATGCAAACATCATCATCATCATCATCCCAAAATTATAAAATGTTATGGTGTATATATTTCTGCCAACCTAGCTGTTCAAAAATATGCAAATGGTACCACTTCTGCAGGAAGGTAATGGCACTCCATGCTGTCATGCCAGCCACATGACCTTGAAGGTGTCTATGGACAACACTGGCTCTTCGACTTAGAAATGAAGATGAGCACCACCCCGAAAAGTTTTGACTTAATGTCAAGGGGAAGCCTTTACCTTTACTTTTATATATTTTTGAGAGGAAAAAAGGGGGGGGGGGATGAAACTAAAAATTCCCAGAATTATAAACAGTTTCAGGTTTTGGGGAGAGGAATGCAAAATATATTCTTCCATAATTATAAACTATTCAGGGTGTGTGCATTTTGGCACACTCTGTATTACTTTTCCTAATTGCCAGCTGCCTCAGAATTTAGTGAGAGCAATAAAACATTATAACACAATGGGCTATCATCCCATCATATCCCCATCACAGGGTGCAGCCACACTGTAGAATTAATGCAATTTGACACCATTTTAATGACCTGGGAGCTGTAGTTTGGAAAGGCACCAGCACTCTTTGGCACAGAAGTCTAAAGAGTTTCAAAACCCATGAAATATTTCTACTACTACATCAGCTCTAGATGATTAAATATGGTTTTCTGTGGCCAAGCTGATGGTGACTACTAGATGGCCTATGTTCGGTAGCAGGAACTAGAGCTGATGTGATCTATCCAATGCAATTTTCTGAATCAGCACCCCAAATAACCAAACCAAATCTAAAGTTGACCAAAATCTGATTTGTAACCCTTTTGGTACTAATGTTGGGGAGTGATCCCTGGTTGAGCGGTCCCTGGTCAAGTGGTCCTTAGTCAAGTGGTCCCTGGTCAAGTGGTCCCTGGTCAAAGTGGTCCCTGGTCAAGTGATCCCTGGTCAAAGTCATCCCTATTTGAGTGGTCCCTAGTTGCGAGGTCCCTAATCAAGTGGTTCCTAGTTGAGTGGTCCCTGGTCAAGTGGTCCCTAGTCAAGTGGTTTCTAGTCAAAGTCATCCCTAGTTGAGTGGTCCCTGGTCAAGGGGTTCCTAGTCAAAGTGGCTCCTGATTGAGTGGTCCCTGGTCAAGTGGTCCCCAGTCGAGTGGTCCCTGTTCAAGTGGTCCCTGTTCAAGTGGTTCCTAGTCAAAGAGGCCCCTGGTTGAGTGTCCCCTGGTCATAAAAAGGTTGGAAACCACTGGTGTGGCACCCCTAGTGCACCCATAAACCATTAAAGCTTTGGGAATAAACTTGGCCATGGCTCCCTTCAAACCTTGCAACGTAGAGTGTGAAGGGAGCCCAAGGGTCATCCAGTCCAACCCCATTTTACTGTGCAGGAATACACAATCAAAGCACTCCAGACAGATGGCCATTCAGGCTCTGCTTAAAACCCTCCAGAAAAGGAGGCTCCACCACACTCCCAGGCAGCAACATATTCCACTTTTGAACAGGCTCTTATCCTCATGGGAGAGGAGGGTGGAAGTTCTTCCTCCTGTTTTGGTGAACTCTCTTTTCCTGGAATCTATTGCCCCTGTCAGAGTCTCCAGAGCAACAGAAAGGGAGCTTGTCCTCTCCTCAATGGAAAATATTGAATCTTCCCTCCAGGATGATGACATCCAGCTCCCTCAGCCACTCCTCATAGGGCTTGGCTTTCATATCTTGGACCATTTCGGGTCCCTTCTTTGAACACCTTTCGGGTGTCAAGATCCTAAAGAGAAGAGAAGGGGATGCTCCCTTCACCCCCAACTCATGCATACCTCACTTCCCTGAGGATACCATTATACCTCCCTCCCCCCGAAAACCGATCTCTAAGCCCCCCACCCATTGCCTCCAGGCCCCTTCCTTCCTTCCTTCCTACCTCTCCCCCAGGCTCAGGGGCCAAGCAGTGGGCGAAATGGTGCGCCTCGCTCTTCTCTCCTTCTGCTGCTGCTCCTTCTCCTCCTCTTCCTCCTCCTCTTCCTTCCGTGACCACCGCAGCCCTCCTGGGGGTCTCCTCTTCCTCCTCCTCCTCCTCCTCTTCCTCTTCCACCGCCCTGTTGCCTCCTGAGGACAATGAGAAGGAAGGAGGGGAGAGCGACGAAGGGGAGTCCCTGAAGGAGGCGGGAAGCTCCTCCTCAGGAACCCAGGCCAGGCTCATGGCTGCTGCTCAGGCCCCGCACTGCACGGCCCGGCCCGGCGGGGCTCTTCCCTCTCGCTCGCAAGGCGCGCCTTCCCTCTCCCTCCACTGGAGCAGATGCTCCTGCTCTTTAGGCCAGGTTTTTAATGTATATATACATTTATCTATTTTTTTTTTCCCTTTTAGTTGAAGCAGTTGCTTCAGGGTCTCCGTTATCCGCAAGCGAGCTCGGAGCTCCGCCTAGTGGAGACGCCTCGGTGTTGCACCGGTTCCATCACGGTCGGACTGGATGGAGATCAATGAGTGAAGAGATGGAGAGCTGTATATATCGATGGAGGAGACTGAGAGCTGGATGGGAGAGCTGGAGAGATGGATGAATGGATGAGAGATGGATGCACTGGAGAGATGGATGGGAGAGGTGGAGATATGGATGAATGGATGAGAGAGATGGATGGAGGGACTGGAGAGATGGAGAGATGAATGGGTGAGGTGGAGAGATGGATAAATGGATGAGAGTAATGGATGAATGGATGACAGAGATGGATGAATGGATGAGAGAGATGGATGGATGGATGGATGAGAGAGATGGATGGATAGATGGACTGGAGAGATAGATGGGAGAGACTGAGCACTGGATGGGAGAGATGGAGAGATGGATGAATGGATGAGAGAGATGGATGAATGGATGAGAGTGATGAATGAATGGATAAGAGAGATGAATGAATGGATGAGAGAGATTGATGGATGGACTGGAGAAATGGAGAGATGATGGGAGAGACTGAGCGCTGGATGATGGAGGTGAAGAGATGGATGAATGGATGAGAGAGATGAATGAATGGATGAGAGAGATGGATGGATGGACTGGAGAGATGGAGAGATGAATGGAAGAGACAGAGAGCTGGATGGGAGACGTGGAGAGATGGATGAATGGATGAGATAGGTAGATGGTTCATTTGGAGAGATGGATGGGAGAGACTGAGAGCTGGATGAGAGGTGGATGAATGGATGAGAGAGATGGATTTATTTATTTTGTATCAAAAGCATTGCATAAATTAGTATAAAACTAATAAAAATAGAAGGAGCAGAGGTGGCTAAATATCTTTTGACCAAAAACAGGCAATAGCAATGGCATTGTTTGTAGCCTCCAACAATTCTTCCTCTGTATATGAGGCAGGGCATAGTGGACAAGCATACAGATGTGGAGTTGTCTGTGGAGAGAGATGGATGGATAGATTGGAGAGATGGAGAGATGGATGGGAGAGACTGAGAGCTGGATGGGAGAGGTGGAGAGATGGATGAATGGATGAGAGTGAAGGATGGACGGATGGATTGGAGAGATGGAGTGATGGATAGGAGAGACTGAAAGCTGGATGGATGGGAGAAGTGAAGTGGGATGAATGGTTGGATGGATGACTGGATGAATGGGAGAGTAATACATGGATGGAGTGGAGAGATGGATGGGAGAGACTGAGAGCTAGATGGATAGATGGATTGGAGAAATGGAGAGATGATGGATGGGAGAAGTAAAGAAGGATGGCTGGATGGGAGATATGAATGGGAGAGATGGATGGATGGAAGGGATTAAGAATAAATGGGAGAGATTAAGAGTTGATGAATGGAAAAGATGGAGGGATGGATGGATGGGAAGGGTAGATGGAGAGATGGATGGATGGGAGAAGTGGATAGATGGATAGATGAACCAAAGAGATGGATAGATGAAATGGAGAGATGGATGGATAGTCTGGAGAGATGGATGAATGGGAGATCTGGAGGGACAAATGGATGAGAGAAGTAAAGAGATTTTTTAAATTTATTTATCATGTCAGTGCAACTAGTCGATTATATTACATTTCTAACAGAACAAAGCAAAAAAAACAACAACAACAGAAAAATACAAAATTTGTGAGTTTGGTAGTTGATTAGATGTCCTTTGACCAGTATCTGGCCACTTGGAGTGCTTCTGGTGTTGCTGCAAGAAGGTCCTCCATTGTGCATGTGGCAGGGCTCAGGTTGCATTGCAGCAGGTGGTCAGTGGTTTGCTCCTCTCCACACTCGCATGTCGAGGATTCCATTTTGTAGCCCCATTTCTGAAGGTTCGCTCTGCATCTGGCTCTGCAGAGTAAAGAGATAGATGGACTGGAGAGATGGAGAGATATATGGATGGATGGGAACGATGGAAAGCTGGATAGATGAATGACCAATAGGAGAAGTAGCATTTCTAAACCTTCTTACCCTTCAGAGTTTTGTCAGTGTCTCGTACTTGAATCTAATGGCCTAATTTATTTATTTTTATTTAAATATTATACTAAAAGAAAATAAAAAAATGGGAAAAGGAATAAAAAGAGAATTTGTGTTTTACCCCTTAGAAAAGGTGCCTATGTTGCCTAACGTGTGTTGTTTATATGTTTTTAGAGGAAAGGTTCCCCATTAATTGAATTGACACTTCTCTGTGTGCATAATATATATCAAGATACAATAAAAGAAAGTGAAAAATGACATTTGTTGACATTTTCCAAAGAGGCAAAACAAGTTAATAATTGTAGCTGGACGTTAAAAAATCTGATGTTTGTGTCCTTTCTCATCAGTCTGGGCCTGGGCAGGGATGATTGGATGCACCTTCAGAAGACTTAGCTAACATAAACATGATTTCCTATTGCCTTTTCAGGAGTTATTGTTGGTACTGTTGGTTCATTTCCAACTTAGCATTTTGTCACAAGGTTGGCAAGATTTCTTTGGAAGGAGTTACCTTTGCCTCTCTTTGAGGTAGAGAGAGTGCAACTTGCTCAAAGTCACACAGGATATATCTACACTGTAGAATTAATGCAGTTTGACACCGCTTGAACTGCCATGGCTCAATGCTATGGAATCCTGTGAGTTGTAATTTGAGGATGCACCATCACCCTTTGGCAAATTAGCTTTTAAAAGATCTTCTAAAGATTGCTAAGAATTTGAGAGTATGGGAAGCATTAACTCCCCCCCCCCCGGCATGTAGCCCGGGGGGGGGCTTGGGGGGCTTCAGCCCCCCCCCAAATTCTCATGGTGGTTCGCGAAAAGGCCTTACTGGTGCATTATTTAAACTGTTATGTTTATTCATATCATGATCTGATCACCATGCTCAATATATCCCATATGCATGGGGTATTGGGGTAACGATACAAAAGGTTTGCTAGGGTAGACCCTCTTTCACTCAGACTCAGCCCCCCCCCCCGAAACAAACTCATCCCCCCCCCCGAATCGAAATCCTGGCTATGGGCCTGCCCCCCCCCCCCAAAAGCTAACTTTTCGAAACTTTGTCTCAGAAGCAAGTTAAACATTCATTTCAGTGGTACTTAACTTTCTAATAAATGGATGTAGGGAATCCTTGTGGCAGTGACATAAGAACTTCAGACAGCAATCCCATGAACACTTTGTTGTTTGTTAACTCTTGAGAAATCAACCTTGATTTATGGTGACTCAATGACGGAGACCTGCTAAGATCTTACAACTCAGGGCTGTTGCTTTCTTGACTGAGCCTGTCCAGCTGTGATACAGTCTGCATCTTTTCCTACTGTCTTCTGCTTTACCAAGCATTATTACCTTTTCTTCAAAGTAATTTTATATAATATCTTCGATAATTCTGTGTATGAAACAAAACCACGAGATAGCAAATGTATTACTGTCTCAACCATGAGGATAATTTTGAGTTCAAAATATTTTGGAGTTTCGGATACAAGAATGTTCAACCTGTATATTTTTGTTTTTTTAATGCTCAGCTGTAAACCTGTATTTCCTGAAATGACTTTCTTAAGTAAACATTACAAATATTTACTATTTTCTGCTAGTAACATGGTATCATCTACATATCTTAAACTGTTGATGATTTTTCCTCCAATTTTCACACCTTGTTCAGATTTTAATCTAGTTCTGTGTATGATCCATCCACCATACTGCTGAAAATAAGGTAAACATTTTGGAAGAATTTATTCTTGCTTAGCAGTGTTCCAAGAGAAATTTGAAAAATCCTTCCACTCTTTGATTTCTATAAAAAGAGATAATGAAATCTCAAGCCAGTATTGGAGGACTGGCAGAAGTCATAAAGCTAAATCTGCTTAGATGCACCCCTGGTAACCCTTCAGCTCTCCCTCTGGCACACTAGACTTAGTGGTCATGAGTCACTGCTGGCTCATAATCTGTAAAGAGTGAAGGATGTTACTGCTTCTGCATACCTTAGTTCAGCAAATTACTACATAATATGAAACATGATTGAACATCATAAGGGAAACATCTTATGATAAGGCTTAAGCTGCATTCCTTAAGTCGATTGCATTCTTGGGGCTTAGAACACAGTGCTGAACATCTTGCTGAGCTTCTTTCTACCAAAAGATATCTAGAGCAATTTTTCTCAACCACCTTGGTGCTACAACCCCTTAATATAGTTCCTCATATTGTGGTGACAGGCTCTATCAATCACAAAGATTAGAGTTGTGCCCCTGCAGATGCTTATTTGAGAGAAGCATTTTTGGGATAAGACCTTTGGTTGCAATATCATTAGTGATTTATTTATTTATTTATTATTTACAGCTTTGATATTCTGCCCTTCTCACGCCACGGGGGACTCAGGGCGGATTACAGTGTACACATATATGGCAAACTTTCAATGCCAATTTTTGACATACAAACATATACAGACATACACAGAGGCTATTTAACCTTTTCTGGCAGCCAGGGGAGCTGTCGCTTTCATCGTCCATCTGCGATGCTGATGAAGCACTTCCCCGCATGCTTCCCTGCTGGAATGTTTTGCTGGAGTTTTCTTTATGGCCTCATAAATCAGTTAATTTAGCCTCACCACAATTTAAGGTGGTACCTAATTTTCCTACTTGACAGATGCAACTGTTTTTCGGGTTGCAAAGGTCAACAACAGGCTACACACAATTGGTTGGAAACCCACTCCAACCCGGGCTGGCTTCGAACTCATGACCTTTTGGTCAGAGTGATCTTAATGCAGCTGACACTCAGCCAGCTGCACCACAATCTAGATGTACCACAAAGTGAAGAAAAAGCATAGAGTTATAGAGTTTGAAGAGACCACCAGGGCCATACAGTCTAACCCTCTGCCATGCAGGAGCAAACAATCAAAGCATTCCTGATAGATGGCCATCCAGCCTGTTTCATTCCTCCCCCCCCTCCCCCTCAACACGCTCTAAGGCAATATATTTCATTATCAAACAGCTCTTATCATTGAAAAGTTTTCCTCAATAAGGTGTTAAAGGATTGTACGTTTACAACTG